CATCATCATCACCAGCATCACCATAATCTGCATCATCGCCATCATCAGCATCACGATCATCACCCTCCTCCGCAGCATCATCATCAGCATCATCGCTAACATCCGCATCATCATCATCAGCAGCAGCATCAGCATCATCGTCAGCATAATCATCAGCATCATCACATCATCAGCATCGTCATCATTATGGTCATCAGCATCATCATCATGGCCATCATCATCATAATCATGAACATCTGCCTAATCAACACGATCACCATCCTCATCATCGTCAGCATCGTAATCGCCATCGGAATCAGCATCGTCATCATCGTCATCATCGTCATCATCGTCATCATCATCAGCAGCATCGCCAGCATCATCAGCATCATCATGAATCATCGCCAGCAACGCCATAGTCATCATCAGCATAAGTTGTAGCATCATCCTCATCACCCTTATCATCGTCGTCATCGTCATCGTCATCGGCATCGTTGTCGGAATCACCATCATAATCAGCATCAGCACCATCATCATCAGCATCAGCGGTAGCATCATTAGCATCATCGTTGTCGGCATCAGCATCATGAGCATCATCATCATCAGCATCAACATCGTCATCGTCAGCCCCATCCGCATCATCATCATCATTATCATCGTTATCACCACCATCACCATTAGCAGAAGCAGCGTCATCATCATCAGCATCATCAGCATCATTACCATCAGCATCATCATCAGCACAATCATCCTGAGAAACAGCAGCAGGAACTGCATCATCATCACCACCATCAGCAGCAGGATAACAATCATCATCGTCAACATCGTCACCCTCTCTATCATAATCGTCATCGTCAACATCGTCAACATCGTCATCATCAGTATCATAATCATCATCATCACCAGAATTAGCATCCTCATCATCATCATCATCATCATCATCGTCAGCATTATCATCCCCATCGGAATCGGCATCGTCATCATCGACAGCATCGTCATCATCGGCATCAGCATCGTCATCATCGTCAGCATCATCAGCATCATCATCGTCATCAGCATCACTATCATCATAATCAGCAGCACCATCATCATCATCATCATCATCATCATCATCATCATTTTGATCGTCACCATCATCATCATCATCATCATCATCATCATCATCAACCTCATCATCATCATCATCGTGGTCATAATCAGTATCACAATCAGCATCGTCATCATCAGCAGCATCATCATCGTCATCCTCATCCTCATCATCATCAGCAGCAGCATCATCAGCATCATCATCAGCATCATCAACAGCAGCATCATCCGCATCATCGTCATTACCATCATCATCATCAGCATCATCATCTTCATCCGCATCATCATCAGGAGCATAATCAACATTATCATAATCCTCATCCTCATGACCATCAGCAGCAGCATCGTCAGCATCATCATCATCAGCATCATCATCATCAGCATCAGCATCAGAAGCATCAGCATCACGATCATCACCATTATCAACATCAGAAACAGCAGCAGGAGCTGCACCATCAGCAGCAGCACCATCATCAGCAGCAGAATCATTATCGTCATCATTATCGGCATCATCTTCTTCTTCATCATCAGCATCAGCAAAGTCAGCATCCTCATCATCATCATCATCATCATCATCATCAGAATCATCATCAGAATCATCATCATCGCCTTCGTCATCATCAGCATCATCACCATCATCCGTTATCGTCATCGTAAACGTCATCGCCATCATCGTCATAATCGTCATCATCATCAGCAGCATGATCACCATCATCAGCAGCGTCAGCGTTATCATCATGATCATCGTCATCATCAGCAGCATCATCATCATCGTCGTCATCATCGTCATCATCATCGTCATCGTCATCGTTATCAGAATCATTAGAAGCATCATCAGAAGCATCAGCATCATCCTCATCAGCATCAGCAGCAGCATCATCAGCATCATCATCAGCATCATCATGAGCATCATCATCCTCATCATCATAAGCATCATCATGAGCAGCATCAGCATCATCATCATAGACATCATCATCATCATCAACAACGTCATCATCATCATCGTCGTCATGATCATCATCAGCATCAGTCGTATCATCATCATCACCATCGTCATCGTCACCGTCATCGTCATCGTCATCGTCATCGTCATCGTCATCAGCAGCAGCATCAGCAGCAGCATCATCAGCATGATCATCCTCATCCTCCTTCCCTCAGGCCTCGGGCCTCAGACCTCAGTCCTCAGTTATCAGTCCTCGATCCTTGGTCGTCGACCCCCAATGCAGCCCCTGCCGTCGCACGTTGACCACATCCCCAGAGTCCGCCCTGGCGCCCTGGCCTGTTCTTCGAGCCGCGCACAGGCGCGGCGACGGGAAAACCCCCAGAAGCGCCACAAAACGACCTCCGAAGCGAGGTCGCCGACGCCACCGCCTTCTGCCTCGACGCAGCCGTCGTCGCCGCTGCCGCCGATAGTTGGCTGAATCCCAGCGGCCGCCAGCGACAGCCACCGGCCGCGCAGCTGCTCGGCCGTCCTCGAGGCCAGGGCGGAGCGCTTGGCGACGTGGCCGACCTCTCTTTCCGCGCCCTCCCGAGCACAGCTGGTCCTCATGCTTGTCCCGCCTCCCTACCCCCGCCTCTAGCCTGCTGTGTCCCTCCTGCTTCCTGCGCCCCGGTTGCCCTCACAGCTCCCTGGAGGGCTGCCAACTGCGCCACTGTCGCCACTGTCGTCGGCTCCTGAGAGGGCTGGCGCAGCCACGCGACGCGCGCATCCAGAGGAGACCTCGTAGCTCCGTGGGGGCTGCCATGAAGGGAACGGGTCCTGGTGGAAAAGGGTCCTACGTCCTGCGAGCTTCCCCACGTTTTCCGGACCCTCGGGGCCCTCCACGGGACACGGGACCGTCAAAAGAATACTCAAGGTCAACAAATGATCCTGGGGAAAGCCCGAAGGGTCTAGGACCAATTTCCCTCAGGACCCTTTTTCTTCATGGCGATGTTCACGGGAGGGCGCCAAATGACGCCAGAATAGTGTCATGAGATCAAGTGGAGGAAATGCGCATGCGACTGTTCCTGTACTCGCATGCACCGGTCAATAGGTTCACAAAAGGGGGGAAGGAGGAGAATAGGAAACGACATGACCGGCCTGGTCGTACAGCTGTTGGAAGGCGTCGTAGACCTTGGCGGCGCGTCGAGAGGAGGATCGAGGATCGAATTCGGCGGCTTCGTCTCGGGTGGAACCTGGGATGGACCTGGGAAGGAGGGTGGAATGGGTCACCTACCTTCGCGCAACGCGCCCCACGATGCGCGGTCACCTTCGCGCCTTCGCGCCGCCCACCATCAAAGGGCAGCCGACCCAGACCACGACGCGCCAAGCGTGGTTGCTTTCGCGCCCACGCGGGCGACCCCAGGGTGGATCGAAGATCAAGACTGTTGAACGTGTTTAGCCTTCCGGGAGGGCTCTCGGATCCACCCCGACATCCCAATCAACACGCCATGACCAGGGGCCGAGTGTTGAGACAACTGAAGGGAGGGCAGGGCCAGGAGGGGTGAGACGCGCCGACCAATGAAAGCCGCGTGGACCTCCGAGAACTTACCTTCGTGCCGTCAGCCTGGTCGTCTGCTCCCCCGCCTCGTGATCCTCCCCTGGCGACCCAGAGGCCTCCCTGTTCTGCCCGCAACAGAGCAGCGAGAACTCCAGCATCCTCTGCGGCCCCCTCCTCCTGGCCCTGCCCTCCCCTCAGCTGTATCAACAATCGGCCCCCAGTCCTGGGGCGCAGGGAGGGGGGTACAGCGTCGACCCATGAAATCCACGCGGACTTCCGCGAGTGTATGCTTCTGCCAGCTATTCTCATGTATCGGGGGCAGGGAACCCATGCGAATCCAGCTCTACGCAACGAGGAGGTCGCGAAAGACAAGAATGGGGGCCTCGGGGTTGCGCTTTACCGCCAAGTGCTCCGTCACCATCGCCACCCGAGGACCCACCACTGACCGCCTCGCGCTCTCTCCAGGGAAGCAAGAGCTGACGAGGTCTGGACACGAGCAGCAACAGCATCCTCGTGACACGCTGCACGACCCCTGCGCGGGTCTCCCCACAAGCCGTGCGCGTGCCTCTCGAAGTGTGAAGCGTTGCCTCACAATGTCCTAGCTGCCCTCAAGTCCGCCCCTGCTCCCTCGCCTGTTTCACACATGACTGTTCAAGCCGGCTGAGGCAATTTCAACAGATCGCGCTGCCTCATTGCTCTGCATCGTAGCTGGGCGGTGCTCTGCCACCTTCGCCACCCGCGGACCCGTGAGCACACCGCTAACCGCCTCGAACCATCTCCAAGGCATAGACGTGGAGACGCTGACAAGGCCTGGAGACGGGCAGCAGCAGCAGCAGCACCACCACCACCATGGCGCGCTTCACAAACTGACCCAAACATCAGACGATGTGATTTTTCAATTCCACGGTCCCAGGACGCCCGATCACTTCTCCCGGGACAGAGTACAGAGTTTGGTTCCAGATCTTTCTTCGATGGCCCTGGGGACCGAAAAGATGTGTCGGAGGCCGGAAATGGGGGAAAGGCACACGAAACAAGAACCCGCCCGAAGTCATGAGAGGGGGGCCTGAAGGGAGACTGCCGACGCGCTCTGACTTTTTGCGGGCGCGGCGGGGGCCTCGGGGTCCCCAAGGACGCCGCCGCCCCAATCGAGCGCCTCAGGGGGGGGGGGGCGCGCGGCCGACGACGACGACGACGACGACGACGACGACGACGACGACGACGACGACGACGACGACGGCGGCGACGGCGACGACGACGACGACGACGACGACATCAACGACAGGGACAAGCACGACAACGACGCACGAACGATACGGAGAGGGGGCAGAGGGAGGAAGGGGAGGGGGGAGGGCGTGTTCGTGTTGGTACATGCGGGCGAAGGGGGGGAGGGGGGCCCGCGCCGCCGCGCACGCGGCAGCAGGCAGGAGGCCAAGCCGACCCCAGCCGCAGAGCGCC